CTTTCATTCACGACACGTCGTCATACACGCCCCTTCCCCATACTCTAGATCATGATATCAACGCGATTGTAGCAATTGTGATCTCAACCTCCCAGCTTTGAATGATCTTTGCCCAACACGACATTGCAGTTTAGCTAATCGGAGAGCTCGGCTGCAGCCAGAAAGCCACCAACCACAATCTCCAGATTTCCAACCCCCCTAACTAGATCCTAGTGAAGGCACGAGACCCGACGACAACAGAGCCGACATGACGTTCGCTTCTGTAGTGGGCTCGATTGTCTCGGGCATTGCAGCTTTCGTTGGTTGGAATATATTGAAGCAGCTTTATTTCCCCGATCCTCACAAACCACCCGTGGTTTTCCACTGGCTGCCGTTCATTGGTAGCACGGTGTACTATGGAATTGACCCTTACAAATTCTTCTTCGAGTGTCGTGAAAAGGTGAGTCTTACGTTAGAAAAACCGAGAAGCGAAACGTTTATTGACTTAGTTTTTTATTTTTTAGTATGGGGACTGCTTTACGTTCTATCTCTTGGGAAGTCCCACGACCGTCTTTCTCGGAAGCAAAGGGAATGAGTTTATCCTGAATGGAAAGATCAAAGATTTGAATGCCGAAGAGGTCTATGGCCCCCTTACCACGCCGGTGTTTGGCAAAGGAGTCATCTACGATTGTCCAAATGCCAAGTTGATGGATCAAAAGAGGCTGCTTGGACCCGGTCTCAGTGGAGCTGCTCTCAAAAACTATGTGCCGCTATTTGTGAAGGAAGTCGAAGACTTTGTCAAGTCGTCACCGATCTTTAAACTAGAGGGTGGGATATGTGATATCTCGTCAGTAATGGCTGAGATTACCACGTACACCGCTGCCGGCTCGCTTCAAGGCAAAGAGATTCGAGATATGCTCGATTCAGATATTTCAGTCCTCTACAGACACCTCGATGATGGGTTTGCCCCCATAAACTTCGTCCTCCCCTGGATTCCCATCCCAAGGAATATTCGAAGAGATCACGCTCAAAGGGCCATGGCGAAACTCTACATGGATATCATTCAAAAACGTCGCAAGCGAGAGACTCCTCCTGAGGAAGAAGATATGTTGGATATGTTGATGAAATCGGTTTATCGAGATGGGAATATGATACCTGATCAGGAGATTGCGAATTTGATGATTGCCCTTCTGATGGGTGGACAGCATAATACTTCTTCGACGGGATCTTGGATTATTCTACACCTGGCTCACGATCCGGCTCTTATCGAAGAGCTTTACCAAGAGCAACTTAGAGTTCTAGGACCATCTTTACCACCACTGACTTTCGAACATCTTGAAGCCCTTACGCTCCATAACCATATGATCAAAGAAACCCTTCGTCTACACTCACCAATTCATTCCGTCATGCGGAAAGTAAAGACCCCAATGCCGGTTCCAGGTACAAACTGGGTCATCCCACCATCCCACACCCTCCTCTCAGCCCCAAGTTTCCTCGGCAGAACACCCGAAAACTTCCCCAATCCAGTCAAATGGGACCCACACAGATGGGACGACCCAAAGGCTGGGTTCGCAGCAATGGGCGGCGGTAGCGACGGAAAAGACGACGAGGGAACAGTCGACTACGGATTCGGCGCTGTATCCTTGAAATCTATAAAATCCCCATATCTGCCTTTCGGTGGTGGAAGACATCGATGTGTGGCTGAGAAGTATGCGTATACCCAGCTTGGGGCTATTTTGGCGACTTTGGTAAGATTGTTGAAGTGGGAGCAGGTGGATATGGCGAAGGAGGTGCCTCCTACGGATTATTCTAGTATGTTTTCAAGACCGATGCACCCGGCGGAGATTAGGTGGAAGCATAGGAGGAGCTGAGGGGGGGTTATACAATCTATCACCTCGTTCTGAAAACATAGATCTATGTGCGCTGGTAGGGACAATTGACCGATGGGTATAGGCACAAGGGAATCAATAAAACCCGATAGACCGTGTTATAAACTACCTCCTCCCGTACCAAACAGCTTCATTAGATCACAAACACCGTAATCTTCTTTACTTTTTTTAAACTCCGTGCTTCTCCCGCAGATTCCAAACTCAACGTCGCATACTTCCCCCTCGATTGACCCAACCCCCCAATACTAACCACCAAGGATTCGGGGAGAGGCGTTAAATCACTTGCAGATATAGGTGAAGGAGACAACAAATCCCATCTAGTTTCCGAGAGCCGACGTATGATGCGAAAGAGGTCGGCGTTGGTCTCGATATCTGTGCTGGGTTCAAAGGTGTAGTGTATGCCCGGGACCGTGAGGTCGACGCTGAAGGTAGTGATGTGCTTTATTCTATTCTTTGTAATTGGCCAAGGGGTGCAGTGGCCGTGAAGGGATGAGAGCGGAGATGTTGGGATAGGGGTGGTAGTGTCGGTTATCCCGCCTGGAAGAACGACGGGGTCTTGAGAATATAGACGCCAGCTAACGACTGTGATTGGGAGGTCGGCTGAATTATGAACTTGCACTCGTCTCCTTACACTTGAAGGTATTGTAGCCGCTTCTAATACAGGATCTTGGGTGTCGTCGTCATTGTCATGATTATCATCGTGGAAGTCTATCCGACAAGGATGGAATCTGTCGTCTTCGAGCCGGATGAGGTGGGTGATATGAGTGATACATCTGTGTATATACGGATCACATGGGGGGCTTAAACCATCGAGTGGGAGCATATCAGGTGTAAAGTAATCAGTTTTGTCGACGTAAGTATACCGCTTTGGAAGGAATTTGGCGGTGTTGAGGTGTCGTTTTATGTAGTCGCGCCATGCATGGCAGACTTGGGCGAGGATGGGTAGTTGAGTCCAGTCGGCGGACTCGAGGACCTGTAATTGGATTTCAGTTGGTAAGGTTCTCATCTTTTGACAGACAGAGGACACCAGTATCTGTTGGGCGAGTGGAAGTTTTTGAGGTCCAGATTCCTAGTATTCGTTTGTGGTGGTCGGCATCGGAGGCGGATCAGTATGCAGTATCCGGCATTGGCTGGATCCTGTTCAACGTTGTAGCTGCTGCATAGACTGCCCGGGGTATTAGATATTTATTGATAACTCAACCGATTAATTATAAACGGAATCTGTAAACCATAAATTTGGGCACCCAAAACTTCAAGCCTCTCAATGCAGTACCCAGGAGACCTTCCTTTGAAGTTTTTTTTTAAATTGGTTTGCCACGTTTCTGGAGACTTGGTTATGAAGATATCGGCGTATGCTGACCGTGCCATTCGATTCTACAATCTGCAAACTGAATTCCACCATCCGCGTATCTACGTTATGGTCATGCCTAAAGCGTCGATGTAGTTAGCAAAATGCCTTAGTTCGGTCGTGGCTGATCGGATGCGAGTATAGATGTGTACATTTAGTTCTATGTTTCGGTTCGGGCCTCGATATATACATTGGTTCAAACCTAAGGCGTCGGTCTAGCCAGGTTTATTTCCATTTTGGCTCTCAAAGGCTATACCAAGACATCTTAATATCCTTTGACAAGCGGGTGATTCATCTGATATGTACTGTCGACGTCACGACATCCGGCAGGCCTGACAACAATTTAAATACGCAACATAACACTGCACTCAGGATCCAAAACTCCACCACGCAAACAACTCCACACGGAATGGTACTACCTAAAGCATTCCGAGACTGGTGCATCCAACACCTTTCAAACTCCAACTCCCGCCTCGCAACTTCGATTCGCACGGCACTTACAAGTCCAAAACCAGAAGTCATTGCTTCAAAAAAGAGGAGACCAAAAATGTCCGTCCACGTCAGATCTCGAAAGGAAGTTGATAAAGTCATCGATTTGCTTGCTACAAAACTCCCGGTCGAACTTGCTTTGGATATTATCGAACAAGCAGAGTATTTCCCGTATACGATTATCGGCTCTGGTATAGAGGAATCCACCGTTTACTCTGGGTATTCGGGCGGGGCTTCAAAAACATACCTCGTTGTTCGGATCCCGTTCCTTGATTCTCCCAATAGCGGAGAGGATGCACAGCAAGACCAACAAGAACCTAGAAAAAGAGTAGTTCAGAAGATCGTATTCAGAACTACGAGCCATGATCAAGGATGGGGTGGCGAACCCGGGTGCCAGGGAAGTTATAGAGGAGCATTTAGTTGGATAAGCGTAGATATTTGGCGGAAGAAAACCGACAACTACCGGGACGATATGAAGACCGCCCTTGCTAGTCAGGCTAAGATAGTGGAGGCTAACGGCGGGGATGTAAACGACGAGGGGACATATCATCACTGGGGTCTACACCACGGGTATACCAAGATCGGAACAGAGGATGACAAAGACGAGGTTGAGACTGAGTACGGCTTTTACGGATTCGGTGATGATCAAGAGGAAGAAGAGCAAGACGACGAGGGGACACAGTGGGGGCCGACTGTGCGGGTAACGCAGGAGGCAAAGTCAGACTATTATAAAGTTGGTAGCTGGGTATTACAGAGGAATGTATGTGCAAAGGGGGAAAGCACAGATCATGAAATCGTCTGGGATGCTACGGTTGACGGTCCCGGCCCGGACGTTGAGCGGTGGGGATGGGACTACAAAGATCAAAATGGGCGGCAGATGGACACTGGATGGTCAGAGAATGGGAGAGTAGCCAATAGTACCTTTGTGAAAGAACTAAGGGAAGGGGATGAAATTAGGGTCATGATGAGGGCTTACTTTGGTGGATGGAGTTGTACGGTAGAGAAGTGTGAGGTCGAGTGCTGGTGGGCTGTCTGACATTGATAACTATAATATGAGTTCTTGTAGGTTTTGTAACTGCCTAAGTATCTGTTGCGGTAGTTCAATCTAGGATGTTTGTCTGAAGACATCTTCGAAAAAGGTCCATGCATAATATTGCTCAAGTATGAAGCATGAAGATGGTTACAAGACTGAGTGAAGGCCCTCGTCTCGTAAATGAACAGCTCATGTCTCACGTGTTGTGGATGCCGTCAACGTCTATGTACTGAAAGGACCCCTGGTTTCAGCTGAATCATCGGGTACCGTGGCCTAATGGCAAGGCATCGCTTTCCGGTGGCGGAGATTGCGCGTTCGAGTCGCGTCGGTATCGATTCTTTCCTTTTTAGTTTTTTTTTTTTCATTCGCTGAAATCTTGTTTTGGAGATAAATTGTTGGTCAGACAAACTCGGAGATCTGACAAAAACGGTCATTATTTGTCAACCACTTTTTTTTTTAAACTTCAAGCTTGGAGCAGAGGAACTTTCGGGGTCCACCGACAGGGTCACCGATATATATATATATACTTACTAAAGACTTTGCGCGGGATGTGTCCGAATTGTGGATTCGATGGATTTTGAGTAGCTATGAACTTGGAGCTCGAGTACATTCGCGCCGATACGGGTCGGTACTGCTTACTGATATGAATTGAAACTATGATACAATAGACATGATTACTCGAAACCATATACTAGAATTGCTGAAAATGCTCGCGCAAAACTCGGATTATATGCATGTAGTAGAGCTATTCTACCCGGTGCGCCTCCATCTTAATCTCCCAATGTATTGTCTACACCTTACGGCCTCAAATCTGCCAATTCACCCTCACCGGCAGCCTCATCTCTCTCCATTTTTGCCTTTTGCATCTTAATCTCTTCTCTGAACTCCTTCAATGCTCTAATCTCGGTATTGAAAAAACAGAATCCCATAATTCCGTCTAAAGTACTTCCAATTCCCCAAAGCCATGTCGCAACCCACAGAGCAAGCGCCGCAGCTCTGGGCATCCACCAACTACCGATGATAATCCCAATAGTGACGAATATCTGAATAAAGAAGTGCGCCATTCTCCAGAATCGCTGCTTTTCTTCACGCTTTTCGTATGTATCGATTAATTGTAGGATATCGTCGCATAGATCCTTAGGGAATGCTGGGAAAGAAATCTTCTCTGGCGGTGTGAGCTTTATTGTGACGTCGATTCCGAAGTGGTCTGATGGTGAGCATTTCAGATCCGGTAGCTTTTCCATAAAACACACTTTGGCTGCCGTCGCGGAAGTTGTGAGTGGGGAATGGAAGATGTAATCGAGGCGTTTTGCCCAAGGGTCCAAGTTCTTAGGATTCGGAGGCGGCGCTGGGCGCCAGGTGTTCAGCGCCGAATCGCAGGTGAGTCCCATGACTTGGATGTTGTGCTCTGGGGTGGATGTTGGCGGGGAGATTGCGGGTGTATCCGGGAATACGGAGAGCCAGGAGTCTGCCATGTGGCCATATGAACGGAGGAGCTTGTGAGCGAAAGAGTCGGGGATCATGTTGAAGTCGCCGAGCTAGCTTTCATGTTAGTCTGAATAGTTTGGGTATGAAGTTTTGGAATGGGATGGAAGCTCTTACAGCCAATGTGATGTGGCCCTTCTGGACAGATCCTCTGAGTAACTTGGAGATTTCCCATGCCTGCGCTGTTCGGTGGCAGAGATACGAGTCGTTTGGTTCCTCTTCGTAGGGCGCATGAAGCTATTCAGAGTTCAGCAAAAGTATACCATATAACCTCCGAATACAGTAATTACTCACGTGAGTGCAAAAGACTTCGATATAATGACCGCTCTCGTGCTTGATCATCGCAGAAGCAACTCCCTTCCCAACAAAGAAGTCACCTCTAAAGAACGCCGTCGGTCTTCCGTTCAACGGATATCTAAACATCGAACTCTGCTCAATCGGCCATTTCGACATAATCACCAACCCAGCACCGATCGAGCCTCCAAAGTAGAATTTTCCATAAGGAAGGATGTGTTTGGTCTTCTCACGGATGACCTTGTAGTCGTCGTAAGACCAACATTCCTGGAGCCCCACGATTTCCCAGTCGGATTTAGCGATCACGTCGCCGATGAAGGACATGCGGGCGGCGCGGTGTTTGGAAAGGTATCGGAGGCCCCAGCAGTTTAGCGAGAGGACGCGGATGGAATCCGCTGTGACGTCGGTGGTGGCGGACATCTTTTCTGAGATACTATCAGCCATGGTTGTTAATACGGTGAAACCGGCGGAAGTGTTTGGATATATACAGTCAAATTTCAAAAATGAAAGGAAATTCGATCAATCGGGAGCAGCTGGATCACCTACCGTCACTTAAGCTTTATATTCTACCTACTTTTTCTAAAATCGACTTGAGCGAGGGAAACACTCGGCAGCATGTGCTCATGCAAGAATTTTTAGAGGGGGGCATAAAAAAAGTATCGAAAGGGAAAGCTGCCGGCGGGGAAAGAAAGAGCAGTTACGAAGAATACGACGGATAAGTGAATTCCACGATTGGAAATTTGAAGGAGAAGAGCATATAATAAGGAGAATCGATTCTACGGGCAGCTGCCCCGACGAGCCACCCGGACGAGGAGTCCAAGGCTGGAAGAGGGCCAGCAAGTTGCATCATGCATGTCTCGCTTCCACCAAAGCCGGCCAGAAAGAGCCAATGGATGGGATTTGTGTTGTGGGGAGGTTCGAGATGTCTTGCTTGGAAAAAGCAACGTTGCACAAAAACTCTCGCCTGTCTGAGACATCTAGAAGCTGGTGATCGTGGCGATCCCAACGCGCCCTCTCCATTATCTCATATCGATATGTGCATTATGTGCCATTGTCACTAGCTGTCTCTTCAACGGCCCCACGGACACCTGAGACACCGTGGTTCGGCGATAGTGGGTGCCTGATATAGATGTCACGTCCATGGCGGCGCCACCGCACGGTCCGGATACTTCAACCGGACATTCGTGTTTATGCACTGCTATTCTGCATTGCAAAGCAGATTGCTTGGAAATTTATTTTTAATAAAATAAAATTATAGATAATTTTGTTGGCCCAGGATGGTTGAGGTAGTGTCCCTTGTATTGTATACAGATATATACATTTCTTCTGGATTAAGGTAATACTATTACGCTATGGTACATTTATACGGCTCCTGACAGCGTCTTCTAAATGTTCTTGCACCTAGTTGAATCCGTCGACACCCTTCTCAAACTTGTCAAACACCTCCAACGGAAACTTATCAGCAATATACTGATATCCCGCCAAACTTGGGTGCAACTGGTCTCCACTGTCATAAGGTGGGTTCAATTGAGTCGCATTCTTAGGGTCTCGGAGCAAAGCATCAAAGTCAATGACGGCATCGAAGACTGTTCCTTTCGACTTCCTAATCCAATCATTGATCCTTAATCTGGTAACCTCCCTCTCTGGTGCCGAGTAAGGCTGCAGGCTTGGATTGGGCGAGCCAAATGGTGTAATAGTCGCCGCAAAGAGAGGAAGTTTAAAGGCATGAACTCTTGTCGAGATCTGTTTGAAGGCGAGAACGAGTCTTTGGTACACAACTTCTTGCGCCTCCTTTGTGGCTGGTGCTGTACCAATGTCATTGACACCTTCAAAGATCATGACGTATTTGGTACCGGATTGGGCGAGGACGTCGCGGTCAATTCTTCCTTGAGCATTTGGTCCTAGTCCGTCGTTGAGGATTCGGTTGCCTCCGGCTGCTTGGTTGATAACAGAGATTTGGCGGGTGAAATGCTTCTTCTGCATGTTTCTCACGAGAAGGTCAGGCCATCTATATTTTATCGGTTAGTACTTGGTCTTCTTTTGATAGCTATAACGGACTGAAGAACTGACCTGTTGTTACCGTTAGTAGTGCTACCCCTGCCATCCGTAATGCTGTCTCCAACAATCACGAAAGCACCCTTTCCTCCATTGACCCATCCCTCAACAGCACTGAGGAAGTACCAATGGGCCGTGTTGGCGGCATCTGGGGCGGTGAAGCTTGGAGCGTTGACCTGATTTCCAAAGGTCATCCAAGAAGTAGTTCTAGACCCTGGGTGCGAGGTAACGGCAAAGCCTTGCTGTCCGTTCTCAAGATAGATGGTCACAGCAATGTTCTGGAGCGCCTCAAACTCGAAATCGATAGGGTCCGATACAACGAGACCACCATTGGGGACAATGATGGATGAGCTGCCACTGAAGGTGACACTCTTCAGAGTCTTGGTTTGGATCTCCGAGATTCCGGCGGTGTTGTTGACGGGAAGGGCAACTGTGACCGCGGTGATTGGAAGATCGTTCACACCGAAGGCATTGGAGATACGAATCCGGATTTGTTCGGCGCCGAGGGACATGAAAAGGGTTTGTCGAATTGTGGCATTGACGAAAACCCCTGTTGTTCCATTCTGGTGGATGTCAGCTAACCGCTCGACGATAGGGATAGATTGGGAGAAATCCTATTGCATGGTGACTTACATAGGGCGCAGGAGGAAGATTCTGAGTCTCGGTCAATTGTGGCATGGAGGCCCAGGTGTTCACCCAATGGCCATTGTGGACTCGTTTTTCGAGGGCCGCCGCACTAACGCTCGAAACTGTAGCTACAAGAGCTACAAGGGTATTCAGGAACAACATGGTAAAAGCTTGTCAATTGTCGCCCTCGGGTTTGGATCGGTATTCAGCTGGGTCCTGCGGACTTGCTTGGGATCTAGAGTAACCCGAAAACCATTCGATACCATCGCAGCCTTGACCTGAGTATTTATAATACAGAAAGATATCGAGCTCTAGCATTGCGCAACTTTCATCAGGAATTCGAATCGCAGTTCTCCGCATGGTTCTTGTTTTGCCGTGACATCACTTTAGCCTGGAATATAGGGATGATCCTTCCTTCTCACCGAGGTTTGGTGTTGTTATATTATATATCTTCATGGTGGTTCTGCCTCCGAGCTAATATACCTTACCCCGGAGCATCGAAGCTAAACCAAGGAATTCAGGCTAAGTACCATGGCGTTTATAAATCTGGGGAAGGATACATAGTTAATGCAAGGTCTGCGGGTATCAATTCTTGATCGATTGTTCGGCTGAATTGCACGCACTAGCATTTTCCGAGAGTTAAAGCTAAAATGTAACGAAGGAGATGGAAAAAAATTGTCCGACATTCACACCAATATCGGATCTCGGCTGTCTATGACGGATAACTTGAAGGTTTATCCTGGCGAAGGCAGCAGGCTTAAGTCTGGGTGAAATCGGATAAACTGAAAAACGTGCGACATCGTGCCGTCAGAACCGGTGGGTGGAAAAATGCAACATCCTGCAACGCGGAAAACGTTATGGGTCCTCGGTGTT